CCTTCGGGGCTCTCGTGCCCCCTTTGCGCCTGCGTGGCCACAGCTGGTCGGCTGCGCTTGGCTGCGCGGCGAGGGCCCAAAGCTGCGACGGCACCCATTGCCGCCGCACTAGCACCGGCAGCTGCCATGTTCAGGTGGCTGGCCTCGGCAGTAGTGGAAGTGCTGCCGACTTGGCTGCGTGTCTGGGCCTGCATCTGGCGTGGGGCATCTCCGGCGCTGGGGGCGATGAAGCTGGGGGCCGCGAGGAGGGCCGCCGCCGCCGCTGCGCCGGCAAGCGCTGTCCCGCCCCTCGATCGCGCCATCTTGCTGACAACCGCCATCGGACGGCGAGGAGTCTTCAAGGAACTGGGAACTTGTCTCACTGCTCGTGCTGAGCGAAAATTGGCTGCAGCCCGCAGTCATGAACAACATCAGAGCTGCTGCAAGGTCCGTGAGGCAAATCTGTACTTCATCTGAGGTCCTACAGAGCACGAGGCGCGTAAACGGTAGCGAACTTTTTGCAATCTAATACTGTGGAGCTTCAGGGGCATCCACCCCTTCGCTCATGCTGCACTTATTGCTTCGGTGATATGATTAGCCGCCACTTCAAGACACAGAACGTATGCCCGGCACATGCAGCTTCCTTTTTCTGGTCGCAGGCTGCGGGCAGCGAGGGAAAAGGCAGAGAATGGGCCAAGTGCACATTGCATCCTGCCATGGCAGCGGGGCCCACCAGTCATCAGGTATAGAGGATGTAATTCGATGGGCAAGCTGCTGGATACTGTCCAACACTCAGTGGACCCTCTGGCGAAAATTGTCAAAAACGGCTCTTTAAACATCCTACCGCGCGGGCTGTGCTGCTTCGGTCACAAGCTCATGCAGGCTGCACATCATGACTATTGCCAGATACTGTATGGTGATGCCCAATGTCAAAAAGCAAACGCCTTGTGCATCGAAGCAGGAACAGGAAAATCGATATAGCTGCGACCCTTGAAATCTGTACGGGTCTGCATCGTGGGTTGGTTGAGCTCTCCCAGGTCGAGGCTGCACAAGTTCTGACGATCTGGGTGGAGGTTTCCCCGGCTCAAGCACGAATTTCTTCTAGGGCGAGGGGCATTTCGCCGATTTAGCCCCGTGCACAAATTCCCAAATTCCGACCAAGACGCTCGCATGCAGTGCCAGGGCCTCACACGGCCGCCAGCTTCTCGGGGACCTCTACGTATTCGGCGATGATCTCTCGAAGACGGTCGCCGGTCATGGTCTCCGTCTCCGTCAGCTCGTCTGCCACTCGGTCGAGGCAAGCACGGTTCGTCATAAGGATGTTCAATGCATTGAGGTAGCAGTCATCCGAGATATGCTTGATGGCTGTGTCGATCTTCTCACTCAGCTCCTCGGAGTAATCGGGGCCCATGAAGCCACCGTCATCGATGGCCTGGGCTGCCACATGGAGTCGTGGTTCGAAGTTGCTTTTTTGAACCCCCCCCCCCACCCCCAACAAAAAAGACCAAGTGGCAAGGGAGCCCACCTCTGACATGCCGAACTGTGTGACCATAGCCCGGGCCATTCGCTCTACTTGCTGGAGGTCGCCGCCAGCGCCAGTGGTCACCTGCTGAGACTTTGATCAGTGAGGACATGGGCCACATGCAAAATCTGCGCCGTGTCTACCCTACTACGGGCATTCACATTTGCCGCGGACACCAGCAAGTGGTCTTGCTTTCAAAAGAAATGTTAAGCCATGTGCGGGGGCCCGAGAACTAGCCCCAGGCGTCAACCCAATCTGGTCTAGCAAGCCAAACGTGCCTGTAGTGAGGGATTGTGACTGATTCCATACACAGATACTCACCAAATTGAGTAAGAGCACAGAACCTTGGCGCCTCTGGCCTCTAGCC